TTGCCGGCTGGGTTTGAACCACGACAGAAAGTTATAGGAGAGATTATTTTTGCCTACTTCCAGGCAAGTGTTTTCCTTACTTGCTACTTTCAATCTGTTCTCCTTCCCATTTTAGGAGAAAATAAAGTATGGAGCACACCGGTGCTCTCAAGAACTGGAAATCCCTTCTTATCTCCTTTTTCTTTCTTCTACCTTCTTAAGCTGCTCTGAAGCTTTCAAAGAACACAAACATGGCAACTGGGAACTAACCAGAAACTACATATTTTATATATTCATCACTCTATATATTTACCACTACTTATTACAAAGTCTTGAGAGAGCAAGGAAATACTGGAAGAAACAGACTTCTCAGCACTTACAGAACAGCTCTGGAAAACCAATTACTGGTGTGACATACAACATAACACCATGCTGATGAGACAATGGTTGTAGTCAAAAACCACAGAGATGGCCTCCAAATCTAAACTTTGAGGAAAAAGGAAGGAGGACCAGTACACAACACATTCACCTCCTTGGTACAAACTATTGAGAAATAAAGCAAGAAGCAAGACTATTCAAAGTCTAGCTCTCAACTTTAGTAAAAAGAGAGCACAGCTAATGCACAAAAATAAAGGATAAAGAAGTTTCAACATAATTGCTCTTCCATTTCTTGGTTTCTCATTTTACAGCCCTTCAAGACAGGCTGCATATAGGAACTAAATGAAACAGATGAGGAAGAGGTCCAAAAAGACACCTGACAATGGAGGCATTTCTGTACTGACTCCTACTAGTTTGGACCTCTATTGCCTCCTCTTGCTTCTTTCTGTCTCTGGATGCTTTTATACCAGTGTACCCAAAGGAGCCTATCGAAGCCTGAGCAGTCTAATTATATTAGTATGAGACAACAGGCTTCCAGAGTTTTGCACAATCTGATCTGATACACTAATTAGTACCTTAAAAAAATCCTGAGTTACAATTAATTCTGTATAAAAGCATTCCTTTAGGTTTCGGTTTGTTCTGTTTCCCTTTTGAGTAGGAGGCAGGGGAAGAAACGACTATGGAAAAACCTGTCTCAGCAGAGAAGCCAACAAAAACCCCTATGGAACTGCCACACTTTTTGTTTTGTCATTTGTTGTTTTTTTGGGGGGGGGTGGGGTGTTAGTTGGTTTTTTTAATCACCACAGCATAACGTATCTGATTCTGCTCCCCGAACAGTGAAGAAAACCAAAGACCCAGTGCAAGAGAATCTGTTACTCTCCTTTTTCTTAACATCTGAACTGTTTACATGTGGTTATTGTAGCACTAAAACCAAATAAATAATCATATCTTCACAGAAGTTTGAAATTCAGTTGAAGGACATCAAATTCCATTTTCTGTCCAACTTCATGGCCTAATTCTGTGAAGGTTTACACGCTTGCAAAATGCAATGTATTTCTTGGAAATTTCTGGCACTCAGTCCCTCCCAGAAGATGCTCAGTATTGTGCCAAAATACAGGGAGACCAGGTAACATCTTGTGTTATATTTCCAAAACTAATTAATTTGCTAACCATGTGTCAACATTACCGTTTTCATTGCAGCATGTAATGAAAGAAGAACAGCTGAGAAAGGACTGTAAAAGTACCTTGTAGTCAGGACTTAACTTTTACATAAACCTCTCTACATCACATCCTTCCAGAGCTTCACCTCCCCAAACTGTTAAAATCACAAGACATGCAAATATATTTGACAATATGGTCAGGACTCTTGAGGGTTCTTTAACTACATGCAGATGCCTGTATCCCACTAATTATGACAAGTCCATTTAGTAACTCTCTTCAAAGTCAACCAAAAGCCATCACACAGCTTTAAGTATCTGCAAGTATTTTAAAGTCTGGGTCTGTTTTTAATTTTACCATATCAACAGCCAAATGTTTATGAGGAAAACAAAATTTATGGAACACATCAACACATATGAAGAAATCAACACACTTAAATGCTTAATAAAATTACTTAGCACAATAAAGTTCAAATCAGTTCCTCTGCCCTTTACAAATTTTCTGAGTAATACCATATATCCTTAAAACCTTTTTATTGCAAGTTTAAGAGAAAAGGGAACATACATTGATATCTGCTTCTCTTCTACTCTAAATGGAAAACATAACAGAACAAAATACTAAGTAAATCACAGTCAAAGCCAAGAAGATTTCTTTTAGAGTTAATTACCAGATTTTGACAATGTTTTCTTCTGGAAAGAATGTACTTTGTAAAACATACACACAAAAAAAAAATCATTTTAAGGGACTAGATTGATTTCACCAGAACTTGCAGAGAATCCAAGCAGGCCTTGTTTCTAACACCTCAGTGTACCCTCCTGGAAACCAGACTGCAGCAGTAACGGAAAGAATCCCTGAACATTTCTTTCTAGGTGACCTGCTCTGTAAATGCAGATCCTCAGTGCCCCAGTTCCTTGTGGGGCACCCTTACAATGGAGCAGTATACCCAAGCTTCATACATAATCTGTCACCTCCCACTTAGTTCACAGCAAGTCCAGCTCCAGAGTTAAAACTGGTGGGGTTACTGGAAAGTCCAAGCTTCCCGACACATGTCCAGACTACACGGTTGCCACAAAGCCAGCACACACCTGGGATCTATAAGGCACTCAATACTGCATAAACACTGTGGTATTTCTAAAGATAAAAACTGTGAATCCAGTTCCACAGAAGAGTATACTGTTTCAGTTGTTTTATCCCAATTTAGGAAAACCAATGTTTTATGAAGAACTGAAATGTTGCTTTTCCAATAACTTTAATAGGCAGGCCATACTAAATGTAAAAATTTATCCATTGATTTCCCATATTCTAAGCACTAAAATAATTTGAGACATTTACAATTCAAACAGTTTATTCCCATATATGCAATAGATTCTTTACTAGGACCCAACAAAGCTGAAAATCAGTGAGACATACCACACTTTTGTCCACACTGGACCCTGTTCTGTTGTCATTGGAATTTTCTGCAGAGACAGCTAAATACCTGTAACAACATTTAAAAAGTTGTATTTTAAAGAGTTGTTTAAAAGCAAGGTTATTAAAGAAAACAAAGACCAAACAAACACAAGCACCCTAAAACATAATCCCCAGATATTTTGCTCCAAAATGTAGATAAACAAATAGTAACATATTCAGATTTTTTCAGTTCTGTATTAAAATTTAAGATTTAAGCATATTTAATTGGAAAAGTCACATAATTTACTGTAAAGACTAAATTACAAAGCTGAAGTAGAAGACGACCATAAAAAAGGATTTCTGCCAAATACTAATACAACCACTTCTCTTCTCTTTTTTTTTTTTTTTTTTTTTAAATAACCATTGAAAAAAATCTTTGCTTTCCATGGTTACAACACTCTCACTGGCTTCCATCCCATAAATATTTACTCAGGCACTTACGCAGCAAGTAGCAGCAATGAAGAGAACTCTGCAGATTGTGTAACTTCCAACAAAGTTACTAAGAGTTCCACACACAAAAAGTATGCCCTGAAGGCAGTGTTCTTATTTTACACAGGTGTTTACCAAAAATACCACAAAATTCTATTTGTCATGATTCTGAAAAGTCAGGTAAATAAATACAAATTACTATCTCCAAATTCCTTTGGTATTTGATGTCATATTCTTGGCATAATAACTGAGCTAGAGAGATGTAAAGTGTCTCTAACTGCATTTGATTATATGAGGGAAAACTCTATAACATATGAACCAAGGAAGATGGACACATCACCCTTTGTTTCATGCGTGTATCTTCACACACACAAAAACCTCTCCAAAAGATTAAGGAGGGTAAAATCAAAGACATCTCCAAACCATGGTCAAATTAAACATCAAGACCGCTTTCAGGCAATCAAATGACAAAGAGGAAATGTAACAGAAAGGGGCTGGCTGTCTTGAGTACAAGAAGCCACTATATCTTGCACACCAGGGCTGTTGAGTAGTGAGAATGTGATACTTGAACAGGTACAGCACCAGCTCCATCAGAATCCAGAAGAGAACACATAAACCAGATAGGGCTACAAAGTGTACTCAGGTAGTATGCCAAAATCTGCATTACAGGTGACGTTCAATAATAAACATCCATATTTCCTAATTTACAGACAACAAGATAACAGGCGTAGAAAGTAAAACATTGTAGTACTTTAAAGACAGAAGTCACATTGTTTTCCTACATTGCTGTTTCTTTAAACGCTCTAGCATACACAAATAAGATTAAACTGCAGGAGGGGGGATGATAAATGTGTAACTTTTTTCTAAATACACTTTTTTAATTTTTTTAAACTACTTTCAGTACAAAAACAGAATAAAAATTAGGATTAGAGGTTTAGCAAGTACGAATGGTCATTTCAGATTTCTCAAGACTATCACACTATTGAAGTATTATGGGACAAAATTCAGTTCTAGGCCAACATTTTAGTTCTAGTAAGCCTACAAAGTTATGATAGTATTTAGCAGCAGAGTTCTTCAATGACTGCAAAACACAGCCACTTAGAACTCTAAATTCCTGATACTGTCCCCCAAGAAGGAAGAGAGGGAGAGAAGAAATTATGTTATTAACATGCTTCTTCTATATACTACTGCATCTTCTTCATAACACATTCCAAAATCTTCCTGCAAGGCAAAACTTGAGATTTTTTTTATAGACTAAAATCAGAACAGTAGGTGAAATTCCTGAACTGCTGAACTCCCAAACTGTATGCAAGACTTGCAAAGTCCTTCTATGCCTCACTATGCACAGCACAACAAAACCAACTCTTTGCAGAGATGGAAAGAATTTCAACACAGGCTTGGAAAAGTGGTTCCTCTTCTACACAAGGACGAAAACCTGATTTCCTTTAAAGTCTTCCTATCCAGAAATGCTATTAAAACTAATAGTGTCTATCTGACACAGTCTACTAGAAGTTTTAGTCCATTTTAAGCTTGACACCCACCACAATTAAAAGCAGCTTTCAAAGAAAAAGTTACTGAGATTTTGAATGTAGATGTAGCTATCCATAGTGCCTACAACAAGAATGACTGTTGAAAGTATGAATTAATATAATTTAAAATTATGTCATTTAAAGTCGTCTAAGTAACAGTGAAAAATGTAAAGAATCACAATCTCACTCTGCAGTGGATGAGTACTTTGGGGAAAAAAAAGAAAGATTATGAAGCAAATAACAGGCAAGTAGAAAGTATCTTATTTCTAGTAAGTCAAGGTTTAATTTATCACATGCTAAAACACTGATGTAAACTATGGAATCTTTATATACAGCTCAAGAACAGGAATTAACAGTAAAACAAAGTGACATTCATATCCCTCACTTGTGACTACATATATAATTCAGTGCTCTGCAGGTGGCCCTGCCTAGTGGCAGCAACAGTGGATTTTTCCTGCTTAGCTTCTGCAGCACCACTATATAATATTCTTAATGCAGAATAAGACATTCAAAAATTGTGTGATATTTTTAAGGCACTGATGACTAGCAGTACTAGTTCTTATTATCAAAGTGTCAAAAGAGTGTAATTTACTAGGATTCTAAATACAGCTTGGGAAGAGTCAGAAACAGTGCTGACAAAAGAATACACCATTAGCTTACTTTCTGCATACATACCGACGGTTGCTGTAGTACGTAAATCCTACAAAAGGAAGCTGGTTGCCCACAAATGCTTTTGGTATGGGAAATGTTTCTTCCTCTCCTTTGTCTTCTTCCAGATCATCAAAATTACTAGTGTCAATGTCACTACTTAAGTCAGGCACAACTGGTGCTACAGCTATAAAGAAAAAGTAGAATAGTATGATAATAATCATTAAATTACTTCATTGACTAAGAAATCTCATTCCTTGGTACAGAGTAAATAAAACTTTACATTCCCTTACAAGAAATACAGCAGTCCTTTTGCTAACATAATAAATAAGCCAGACCACTGTCTCTGAGAAAAGCATTATAAGAGTCATAGAATCCCCTCCCACAACCTGCTGGCCATGCTCCTTTTGATGCAGCCCAGCATACGGCTGGCTTTCTGGGCTAAGAGTGCACATGGCCGGGACATACTGAGCTTCTCATCAACCAACACCCCTAAATCCTTCTCCTCAGGGCTAATCTGAATCCAGTCTCCACACAGACTGTATTTGTGCTTGCAATTGACCCACCCCAGGTGAGTTCAACCCTTGTTGAACTTCATGAGGTTGGCACTGGCCCAACTTTTAAGCCTGTTGAAGTCCCTCAGTATGGCATCCCTTCCCTCCAGTGTCAACCACACCGTACAGCCTAGTGTCAGCGGCAAACTTGCCGAGGGTACACTCGATCCCACTGTCCATGTCCATTATACTTACTGTCTCTGAGGGTTTCCCAGGCCCACTGATCATTTTTGAAGAAAAGGTGCCGCTTGATTTCTTCCACACCATTTCGTCCTAGCCTCACTTCCCTGTTAAAGAATGCTTTGGTTAAACATGAGAGATAACAAACTATTCTGAAGGAAAGACTCATTATAAAGCATGATCTAACAACAAAGACAAAAAAATTACCTCTCAAACTAAGGAAAGAAGTAGACATACCACAAAGTCTTCATGTGAACATACCTATATGAGCACAACAGCCTCATTTCAGAACTCAGTGTGGTTTTAAGTCTTGCCTGTAAGATTCCCTGCTGCTACTGTTTCCACCACTATGGAGTCACTAGGCAGCTGCCAAGCAGCACCTGGGTTCTACTTTTTCTGCAAGTTCATGCTGTTACTCAAATTACATGCAGCCCAACAAATGCAACAGCTTCCCTCCTTTGTAGCCCCAGTTCTCTAGCAAAGGTTATAAGTGGCATAGGTACAACAGGACTGTACTCACAAAGTGAAACAGACCTAGCACCTACAATTCAGATGGGCTTCTTGTGGGCTGACTCTACCCTGATCCTGAATGCCAACTAAGCTGAGAATGTATTAGGGGCACTCCTGAAATGCATCTTTTGCTTTAGCTTCATCTGAAAGGAATTTGTTTTGTGTGCCACTCACCACCGGGCATGACAGACCAGTATAACAGTAGCTGCTACTAAGGAGTAACACTTCATATTCGAACTAAATTTATAAAGTAGACATACCCATAGTAGCAGAACCTCCCTTTCCCCAGTACACATGCTACCACTACAAAGAGCAGCAGCAACCATTGACAACTCCTCTCCCAAATACTGGGACTGGAGAAGATAAAACTGATGCTACTGCTTGTCTAGCTCGCAGTAACATCACTTAGTAACTACTGCTTCAGGTTAGACAAAATACTATTTCAGAGCATTTCAGACAAAGTAACTTAAAGACTTAGGCTGAGGTTCTAAAATCCATTTATTAACAAGTTTAAGCAGATGTTCTGTCCTTTAAGCAAAACACTGACAGTTCCTTACATTGCTGTAGTTCAAAGAAAAAGCCCGATTCCTATGAAAACCATTCAACTAGTGGAAATGCATGCAGAGATCAGAAAAATGCCTAGGCAGCATCTAAATGGGAACAGCTACACTGCATTTATGCCAAGACAATAGTTTCATTTCTCTTCTGCAGTTTAGAAACCCACACAAAACAAATACATTTATGTTCTTTCAACTTAAGAAGAAATTCTCTTAACAAAGTCTTACTTTCATTTTGAGTAAAGCTTAAATCTTACCTATCAGTTAAAAAGGCACAAATAAGGTTTTTTGCCTCTTTAGAAATATCATTGTCATCAGGGAAAGTAAGGGAGTTTTTATGGTTCATAATCTTACTGTATGTTCCAACCAAAGAATCTGCATAAAAAGGTGTATCACCTGAAAAAGCAGCAACACAAAAATTAAAAAGCAGATCAAAAGTATTTTAGATTTGATTTATAATATTTGAATTACATATGCAACAAGGTAAGCAACTAAGTGAACAAGAGACAAGGACAAGTAAATGTTTGAGAACTGTGCAAGAATATTCCTAAAAAACATTCTGTAAATATAGGATCAGTAAACCACAGCTTATATCAGAAGAGCTTAATAGAATTAAAGCCGTTAAAAACAACTGCAATTTCGGAGTCTAGTTAAGTAGCACAGGCAATTCTGATTATCCTACTACTCACCTACAAGCATCTCATACAAAAAGACTCCAACTGACCACCAGTCGCATTCTCGCCCATAGTAACCATCACCACCCTGGGACTTCAATACTTCAGGAGAGATATAGTCTGGTGTTCCCACAGCTGTATCACATCGTACCATACCTTCCTACAAAGAGAAGGAAAACCCAGATATGAGATCCAAAACTGCAAGCCATTTCCAAGAGTTTATGCAGCCTTAGCAACATCAGCAGATCAACACCAGTTTTTGTCAATAAACATTCTTTCTTGAACAAGTATTTTAACATTTTGAAATTCTGAGCTACTAATCCAGAACAAAGCACCAAATTTGTCAAACACACTGGAAGTGACTTAAGAACCTCAGTTAATATCAGAGAAGCAAACAGTATTGCATTTAGGTGCTGTAAACACTGAACAGCCTCTCCGGCTTGTGCCAGTATAAATGTGTCATATACTGACAGGATGCACCATAAGCAAGGAAAGTTCCTCTTGTTAGCATAAATGGGTCAATAACAGGGATATTGCTGAGAGGATCAGCTAAAGTGCAAGCTTTTCATTTCTGACCCAAGACTAAATGTAGACAGAGCCCTAAAACTCCAAGCAGACAGACTTCAAAACATGTAACAGGCAAGAAGATCTTCCTCACACCCCTGAAATGGGGCTGGCAGGATATAGATTAGTCACACTAGAGTTAGCATCCAGAATGCCACAGCTGCAACCACACCCCCCCTTCCAGTGCCATTTGGGCACTTCTGAAATAATTCTGTGCCATTCCTAGAAATGGATGTGTTGAAAAACTTGCATAAAAATACATAACTAAGTAAATATCACAAATATAAATCCAGTGTTGTGTATACAGCAAATCCAGAATGCACGACAATTAAGCTCCTACGCTGAGAAAGGTTACCACAGATTAACCTCTTTCAAAAGACTAGAAGAACCCAAAATTAGGCTCAAGACTACTCAGCTAGTTTTGTTTAGAACAGCACAAGATGTAAGGTGTTGTCGACACAAGAGTACTTCAGTAATGCTAATACAAAGCAATGTTTTTTAATTTTTTTCTTTTTTCTTTTTTTTTTTTGTACTTACAGCTTAAACACTGGGATAAAATTTTTCTATATTTCAAAATTCCTCATTGTTATGAACACAATCAGTATTAAGTCAAAATAAAGCCAAATTTTTGGTCAGGTATTCCACTCAAAGTGTACTGTTTGTGACTTGAAGCAACTCTTTAAATTTGCACACATATCCTGTACTTGGTTTTCATCGGTGCCTTTTATTTATGGCAAAGCAGCTAAATACAGTGATTTATTCAAAGCTCCTGGAATATGTTGAGAACACAATGTACTTATTACACAGACTCTATGAAGTATCATGTATTTCAGATTGGTTTCGTCATAAATATGTGCAGACTGACACAAACCAATCAGTTCTGTGCGGGAAACAAGACTGTTTCACAGTACATGAAATAGTGTTGCAAAACTACTTTTTTTTTTTAATGACTTGAGGATATATTTTTTAAAAAAGTAGTAACTCTATGACATTCTTTAACCTGTTCCCTTCAGATTGGTCTTTTTGCTACATCAGCCTATGGCTAATAAATACAATTGGGATTTGGTGACTTGTACATCAGTTCTGATTCTTTCATTACTGATACCCTATGTAAAGAAAATCTCACTTCTTTGCATTCAGTTTTGATAACTAACGACTTAAAGAAATAATCCAGAAGATCTGAAGACAATTGAAGTCTTGACTTCAGAAAGCTTCTTTAGGAAACAGCATAGAAGCTGATACAGTCCTTCAAGAGCCATTTCTGCATTCTATATTGTCAGTGAATAGGATGCATAACTAGTAATTGGAACAGAGTAGAACTTTCAACTCTTCTCACCCAGCTAAAAAGTTTTCGGTGTATTTCCTCATTTTTAAGCATGTTTTCCTTTCACAAACAGAAAAGTGAAATTAAAAAAATATATGTTTACCTTGTTCATCTTCATGCAAGTACCAAAATCTGCTAGTTTTAAATGACCAGCTTTGTCTAGCAGCATATTATCAGGCTTCACATCTCTGAAAGGAGAAAAATGTATTTTTTAAAAAGTAAATAACTCAATTTAACTTACGAAAACAACAGAAGTAAACTATTTTTCAGATGCAACATTGCAAGGAAAAATACCAACATGAAAGCACCATTTCCTCTGTTTTTTTCTGCTCTAAGCCTGTCCAACACACAGACTGCTAAACTACATTTTAAAAAATTATGTTATGAGCCTTCAGTCACCAAATTAACAAATCTGGACACTAATCTTGAACCTCAAGTTCCTAAAAAATACTCACTGGTTGAAGGTACAAGAAAACACAACATTCTGGTTCCGAGTAAGCTATCTCAGACCTTTAAAACATAGCTTCTTCTCTGCATCACTTCTATTTTAAGGGAACAAACAGATGTGATTTTCAGAATTAATGTGAACAAATATTTTTTCCCCATGCTCTTTTCCACAAAATACTTCCATTATAGAAAATAAGTTTTCATGAAGTAACTGGCAAAGTTCAGAACCCTTTGTTCTACCTATTCAAACTGTATCTTTCCAATCTGGCTCCATCAAAAACCTTGCTAAAGTCAAGACAAACAATACACTACTCCCCCCTCAGTGGTGGAGCCCATCATCTCGTCACACAAGCTAACTGGGTTGGTATTGCATGCTTCACCCTTTGTAAATCCATGCAGGCTCTTCCAAATCACCTTCCCATCCACATGCTTGAAAGTGGGTTTCGTGGAAATTTACTCTGCAAAATTCCCAAAGACTGCCTTTAAGGTGATCAGCCTACAGTTCTCCTGATCCTCCCCATCTTGCCCTTCTAGGGGCAGGTTGGGTGTGCCATTTGCTTCTTTGCAGTCATCAGGAATCTCCTAATTGCTGCAACCTTCCAAAGGTGACAGAGAGCAGTATCATAAGGGTACTGGCCAGCTCCTTCATGCCACTTGGCACATACTGTCTAGTGCCCTGGACATGTGTATACCCATGTTTGTGTAACTACGACTTAGCTTGATCTTCTTTTGCCACAATCACTTTCCCAAGTTCTGACACTAGGCACAGGGATCCAAGGGGCCTGAATGCAAACCTTACCAATGAAGGCTGAGGCAAAGGTAGCAGCCTCATCCATTTCCATGTCTTTTGTCACTAGGTCCCTGATGCATTCAGCAGTGGGCCCATATTTTTTTTAGTTTCCTTTCATTGCTCAGACTAACTCCAGTGGAAAACAAATTCTAAAAACTCTGCTGGTGTCAAAAATAAACTAAATTTTCAGAGGAAAAAAAAAAAATCACTGTGCTTCTGGCAACTTCTAATGCCTGCTTTCTAAAGCTTGCAGTACACATGTACAAATGGTTCATTCAGCAAGATAATTTATTCATTAGATGTAGCATAGCTACGTAATGATGCTCTAGATCCTCAAGCAACAGGTTAGTAGTTTGGTTTGCTTTGCTTTTTTGCAAAAGCTTACATGTTAATATTGATGATCTGGCCAAATTACAAACTGAGAATTTATACACTACGTCTTCCTCAAACTCTTCCTGCATTTTCTGTCAAAAAGAAAAAATAAAAATAATTGTTCTTCTGCTCCTAGTTCATACAATTAAAAACTAACAACAGATTAAAGTTCAAATATCAAAAAGTAAACTTCTCAACCTATTCAAGAAGTGCCTATACTTCACTTTAGGGCAAGTGCATAATATGAAACTAAACCAAGTCCCTTTGCTCTGCACCTCAATTTTCAGTCTTGTCCCTTACAAGAAAACATGAGTGATTTTCCTTGCATTATTCACAGATTCTTCTTTAATGGGTCACTGAGGCTTCGAATGCAGAGCAGAGAATTGGTAATTCCTAACAGTGGGACAATTGGATGAAGTGGGACAATTTTATTGCTCCCCAAACTGCAGAACATCAGTCTGATGAAAACCTTTACTTTGTATCAGGTCAGACTTGAAGTTTCTGATGGCAAGAACTTTTGAAGCTGTAAGACGGATTAATTATGAAATAATAATGATGAACATTACAAATTTTTAAAACTGCCTAAACAATCACTGAAGTCATCCTGGCAACACTAGAAATAAAACAACACTATGTAACAACACTTCTTTTCACCTGTGTATAAAACCCATTGAGTGAATTGCATCTAATGCAAGTACAACTTCAGCAGTATAAAATCTTGCCCATTTCTCCGGCACATCATAGTTGCTCATTAAATTCACAAGGTCCCCACCAGGCATGTATTCCATCACCATGTACAGGTAACGGTCATCTTGGAATGCGTAAAATAACTGTAAAAAGCAAATAAACAAAATAACAAGTCACTGTTACAGTTTTCTTTAATCTTTTGCTTGTTGGAAATTAAAGGAATCTCTGTGCAAACTGAATTACAGAGTAACAGAATTGCTACTACTGCATCATTCAGCAGACCTCCAAAATATCACAGTGGAAGGAGTCCTGGTTACAAATTAAGAGTAGTCAATTTGGTGCAATACATTTTGAGATCATTTCAAAGACTGCTCATTGCATAGGAGGATAAAACGCTTCCTTATTCACTGGGATGTGAATTACTATAGAGCAGGCTCACCAATATATATCTGGCAAAGAGTTTTAATAATTAACAGAATAGCTTATCTTGTAAACGTTCAGACAAACGTCGTTTCGAAACAAGTGTGATATCTGCTATTTGTTGTGTACAGCAAATGTGTACTCATTATTAACAAAATGTGCTTCCCTAACAGACCAATAGAACTAAAAAGGGACTTCGAAAAGCTAAAAATGAAGTTATGTAATTTCAAGTCATACAGCGTTATAATTAAATTGTTCTACAATGACAACACTTTAAAAGGAATAGAACTATACCTGAACAACCCAGGGACTATTAGCAAAAGCCATAATATCCCTTTCTTCCCAGAAGAATGCAGAATCTGATCTTTTTATCATCTCAAATTTGCTCAGGAGCTTCATAGCATATACTCTCCTTGAGGATTTATGCCTTACCTATGAGACAAATGTGACACACAGAACACGTAAATTTGCCACTGCTGAATATATTACTTTTCTGCTTCACTATTTAACAATTTTAAAAAGACTCTTCACATTTTTATAAAGAATTCTATACTGTAGGTCTATGGCATAATTACATTCCATTATCTGACAATATATGCATTGCTTTTAAAATACCTGCTAGAACTATTCAACAGAGAATTCCATAGGTGTTAACAGTCACTTCGTAATTTGTAGGTATGAGTCTTTAAAAGGACAAATATTGGCACCTGTTAAATACTAAAAAGTTAAAACTATTTGCATTTTCCAGAGTTCATTAGCAGACATGCACACTTGCTGCCATATTTCCAGTTTCTCCCAACAGTTCTCAATTTAATAAAGCAGGATGAACAAGCCTGGTTGCTAATCTACCACAAAAAACACACAGCATCTCTCGTCTGAGAGAACTATGTCCGCAAAAAAATGGTGTAATCCCTGAACTGGCAGAAATTCTTCTAGTCCTGAAAACTTATCCAAGTGTCCATATATACAGTGGCAAAGGCTAATTTTCTTGCTTATGACGAACATACATTCCATTGCATTTTAATAGAGAAGCATGACTACAATGTGAAACAAGTACCTGCACTTTAAAAATACTGAAATACGACATTCTCAAAAACATTTCCATAGGATAAAAAGAAATAAAAACTTCACTGAGCTGAAGGATTTAATATTTCAGAACACTGCATCTTCTGAAGACTGAATTCAGACAGCCATAATACATTCAAACGTACAAACGTAGAAACATAACTTACCAACTGAACCTCCCCAAATGCGCCTCTACCGATCACCTTCACCACTTCATAATCTTCAGCTTTCATGCGCAGGTCCCTCATTTTATTTACCGTGTCTTTATCTACATAAACCAAAATTTACATTTCATATATAATCAATATAATTAAACCCATTTGTCTCATTTCAATTTTTCATACTTATTAGATGTGTTGCTTAAAGAAGGCACTTTATCTTGAACCTACCTTCCTATTGGAAGCCTCTCTGCAGAATGCATGACCTCATTCTCATTACCATAGTAACCAAAACCTGACATAAACATAATGCAATGACTCTGCAATCAAACTACCCCAGATCTTACTTTGGGAATTTCTTTAAAAATAAATTACCTGCAGAAGAAAGCTATGCAAAAATTTCATATCCAGCATGATCGTGTTCGTAAGCTGATCAGTATAAAAAGATTATTACTGGACAAATACACATCTGAGAAAATATCATAAGTACATATAAATAAGACCTGAGGAAAGTATTTTTAACAAAATCAGCCTGCACTTCTATTATTCCTAATACTTTAAAAAGTAGATTTTAATTTAAAACATTCAGTGGGAATCACTGCAATTATTTATATAAACCTGTCATTCTATAAACTACCATAATTTACAAACTCCCAGTGGGCAGATAGTCTAATTCCAAATTTGGTCAAAGATTAAAACAGTCTATTTTAATCCATGTGGGTCAACACTGGCATGAGATTACATGGAAAAGCTTCATGCTTCACTATTTCTAAAAGCAAGGAACGTCTAACTAAAACAGACACACTGCTAATAAAATACATTGTGCAATGATATTTTATTTTGAAAAATAATATTCTAGGCCTGGAAGCAAAGTTTAGAAAGAAGTAGGGACAGGGGAAGAGGAAAGAAGAGAAATGTTGGGTTTTAAATTTGTGTTTAAAAAAAATGATGAGGCAGGTAAAATTACAGTTAGATTTCTACCTACACTGGCCATCATCTAAACCAAAAGCAGCATATGTACAATTGAAATTCAGTATGATTTTATTACCACAAAGGAACAAACTTAGCTTTGCTTGAATAAATACACTCTGGCATTACACTAACGTAAAGCCATCCCTCTACAATGCAGCATATCACTAGCTGATTTCAATACATTTTATTAGAACTGTAAATTCTGACACATTATTTCATACAGGAACCAAAATATTCAGTAATTGAAAAAAAAAAAATAATGCTTTGCCTTATTAGCCCTGATGAAAACTGACCTATAGTGGAGGATGAGTGAGACTGCAAGGAACTAAAATGCAGGAATTCTCACGACAACAATTTTCCACCTATTATTAACTTACTGCACAGCAATCTTACAACATGAGGTCCACCACTTCTGAATGAGAAATTTGACATTGGGGCAAAGAAAGCTAGGCACAATATGCATGCTTTAAATGGTTCGCGATCACAAGCCTATGGCCAAAACAGAATTAAGGAAAAAACATCTAAAGAGCCATCCAAGCTAAGGATTTTTAAACAACATAAAGTGGGCTTGCAAATTGCAATTTACTGCTTGAGAGACATACTAACACTCCATTATCTTTAGGCAATACGTTACAGAACCGGTAGTGTTGGAAAGTTGACTTCCATATTGTAGGATCTGTTAAGCAAGGTTTATCAGGCTGCAACTTATTTAAATAGGCAGTTCCTTATCTCCCATTACCAGTGGAGGACCCAGCCAGCTTACCCTATATGAACAAGTGGGGTAGCTCCCATGGCTAAAGACCACATTCTCCAACTTGTCCTGAAGTTGTCTTAAAAGCTTAGATAGATTCATAGATTAGTTAGGGTTGGAAAG